CCACCGCGGTCGGTGATACACTAGGTTAGAATAGCATAGCCTACTCCACTATAGTTTATTTGAAATATATCTGAAATGTACATGTTTTCTCTCATTTATATCAATTTATATGAAAATTATCCAGTTTGCACGAATTTTGTTCGGTTTGTTGACATCCCCATTAGTGTTCATGAACTGGTCCTCACATTGTATGGACGGATGTGGTGTCTGTTTTGAAGGTCTACACTGAAGATGCCCTAACTCTTATAGTTTGGAGGGACAACATCTCTCTCCGAGACAAAGAAACATAGCTTTCCTCTCCAACCACACAACACACTCACAGAGTCACGGCCTAACACAATCACCATGGGGCCAAGCAGAACATATGTGCTTTGGGCATATTTCTTGCCCGCCACTAGTTCATGTTAAAGTAGTGGCGGGCCCAATCTCAACGCCTGGCACTGTTTCTTTTTCATCCCGCGAGGAATTTGGAAACAGTTTATGAGTGACGCTCCTAAATATTGTCCGCCACAGCTGTGCACAAAGCAGCGGCGTGTAACATTTAGTCACCACCACTCCTACTTCACCAAAATAGTTGTGCCGGGTTCTAGACCATGCACGCTATTAAATTGAGGCAATCTATAAGCCTTTTTCCAGTAATACAAGTTGCTATTAAATATCTTGTGAAAAGAAAGATGTTAATCATAGGCTGATAATTTGTTTAGAATGGAGCACATGCATGATGTCCTATACCTCTTAATAATAATCTACATGATAAGCAAATAGCTGCTATTAATGTTTCCTCTTATGGGAAGGAGCACATGCATCTACCACACACCCTCTATGTGAACGCACGTAAGCATGTAAGTTATATAAAGTTTTTTTTCACTTCTTATTTTGTCTTCAATTTTTTCTCAAAATATTATAACAAATATATTTGAAACATTTTAAAAAGTATTCCTATATTTTCCAAAAAGTGTTTTTAGCTAATCTACTTATGTTTTAAAATCATAAAATGTTTATCTTGTACTTTAAAAATGTGTTCAACTATTTATAAAAATGTTCATCATACATTTTAAGAAAATTATTAATGTAATTATTAAAGATGTTCATTGTGTATTATAAAAAAGTTCACGGTATATTAAAAAAATGTATATGGTGTACTACATAAATTTTCATCATGTATTCAAAAAACAACCATGTATTTAAATATTTATCATGTGTTTATAAGATGATTATCATGTATTTTAAAAATATTCACTGTGTATTTAAAAAAATGTTTATCATGTATTTGAAAAAAAATCAATGTTTGTGCTAAAGAGTATTCACCATGTATTTCATAAACTTGCACCGTGTGTTTCCAAAAATGTTAACTTGCATTTGAGAAATATTTAACATGTACTTAGAAAACTATTGAACGAAAAATGAGTGACATGTGTTTGGAAAATGTTTAACCTATCTTTAAAAAATGTTCATCGAGTATATGAAATCATGTCAACATGAATCAAGAATAAGAAAATAAAATATGAGGACAAAAATTGAGAAATAAGTTTTATTTAAACAAAAGAAAAGAATGCATGGAAGATTCCCAAAACTTTAGAAGGCAGCATTATTGGGCCGGGACACTCAAAACAACATGGTAGGCAAGCAGCGGATGACTTAGTTCTTGATAGATGGGCACACAGGCTGAACTCTTAAACCTAATAACTATCCAGACTAGTCTAGGAACCAAACATTTTCGCCTCAAAAAAGAAAAACCAGACACTTGCCCCAAATAAAGTGTAAATGTTATATCTCGCTCACAGTGAGACTACATACGTCACACTGAAGGTTTTACGCCCCCCCCCCCACCCGGGCTGTGTTTGCCTACTGGCTGGGCCATTTTCATAGTTTTTCCTCATCCGCTGGTTTCAATCGAGTTCATTGGTTCCGTTCGTTGGGTTTCAATTGTTAGGTTCTTCTTCGGTTTTCCTTTTTCCTTTTTCTCCGTCACTGGTTTTCCTATTTTTCTTTGTTTTTCCACCTGTTTTCTTCATTTCTTTCTCGGTTTCATTGGTTTTAATTTACTTTTATTTTTCCTTTGTTTTTTCACTGTTTTCTATGTTTTTTTATCCTTTTTACTGGGTTTTTCTTTCCATTTTCCTTTGATTTTACTGCTTTGTTTTTGGTTTCCTTTTCAGTTTTCTAAGCATTTTAACATATTCCAATGCTTAATTAAAATTTGTCAAATACTTGATTAACATCTTACCAATGCTTGATTAACATTTTTTAAATACATGATCAACTTTTTTAATACTGATTGTATATTGTTTTAACACATTTTTCAAATACATGAGAAACATTTTTTCTATAAACCTTAAAATTTTCTAAATACTTGATTAAAATTTTCAAATTATTGATTAACATTTTGGAATATATGATCATTTATATTCATATACACATTGTATATTTTTTGTATGAATATTTCGTATACATGAGAAAAAATAATTCTATACACATTTAACATTTTTTAAATGCTTGATTAACATTTTTGTAAATACATGATCAAATGTTTTTCATACAAATTGTATATATTTTCTCTTAATTTTTCGTATAAATAGGATTTTTCAATACACATTTAGCATTTTTAAATCCTTGAGTAACAGTTATAAAATGATTGGTTAACATTTTCAAATATATGATTGACTTTTTATACACATTCTATTTTTTCATATACATGAGAAACATTTCCTCAATACACATTTAGCATTTTTCAAATAATAGATTAACATTTTTCAAATGTTTTATGCAAAGTGCTTTTCTGATTGATATATATATTTCAATGTATAACTCAAAGTAAAAAAAAGAATTGAAAAACAAAAACAAAATCATGAAGAAAAACGAAAAAAGAGGTCGTGGCCTTCTGCACGCTCGGCCGGCCCAGTCTCGTGGTCTCTGAGGTGACGTTGCCCAAGTGCTTGCTACAAGCGAGGAATAGGCGGGCCCAAAATAGGAACCAGGCTAGAAAGCTCATTTGACCAGCTGTATGTAGCTATTTACAAGAACCAAACTAAGGGCATCTCCAACGCGGACCTTGAAATGGTCCGCGTCCGTTCGGACCGCGCAGTCTGGACGTGTTTTGCCATCCACCACGAGCTTGTATCCGTCCGCGGTCTGGTCTGGATGTTCCTTTTCCCGCAAACCGGAAGCAAACCGGGAGGGGGGGTGGTTACAAGAGTCCGTACCGCTGCCACGCCAGCATATGGCAACTGTAGCCCACCCAAAACTACTCTGCCTTGCCCAAGCTATTCCCCGCCACAGCGTCAGCGCCACATTCATGCTGGCCCAAAGCGGAGTGACCACTCGATCACTTCAGTCGGCATGCCTTCTCCCCTCATTGAAATGGCATAAGTCTTCCCTCCTACCACCATTAAACCAACGCGTGTCCCGAGGAACCTACTGATGGTGCACGAATCCATTTGATTTCTTGGCAGGGTACCTAGTGTAGCTGGAAGTCATAGATCGGAGGTCGCACGGGGAATTTACCTAGGTTCGGGCCTCCATGGCAGACTAATACCCTATGACCTACTTGTGTTTGTTATTGACGGTGGGTATACCTTGAGCGAGGGATTACGGAGGTTTATAAGTCTACCGAGAGTTGTTGTATGGGAGAGTAGATAGATATGAGAGCTCCTTAGCCTCCCGTTATATACACGATGGAGGCTTAGGGTTTTACAAAGCGATATGCGATCTAGCTGGCCCTCGTCATCAACTTGGGGATCAAGAAGGTCCAAGGACGTCCCCTTCCTTCAGCTGCTAGATATGTGGTGGGCCTCGTAGGCCTATAGACAAGCCCCCTGTGTTGAGCATCCTAGTGTATGTATGACACCGTCACCTACTCCAGTGTTTTGAATGCCACAAGTCCGTACCTGTGTCGGTCGGCATTAAACACCTCGGCGGTTGGCGCTTCGCATCCGCCCACTATATAAACGTGACCATGCCATACCTCCACTCTCCATCTCCTCCTTGCACCACACCCACCATGGCCTCCGGCTCCAAAGCACGGTGGGACAGCCTCTCCAGTGAACAAAAGAAGGAGCTCTCCAGAATTATAGCTGGCTGTGTGGCCCGGCGAGCCAATCGGAGACAGGCTAGCTTGCTGGCAAGCTCTCCGAAGCCGACGCCACCACCATTATCAAGTCGTCTGCGCCCATCCAGGCTGGCTAACACCGTCTCCCGGAAAATCCGCCGCATGTGATGGCCGGAACGCATCCAGCAGGCGGAGAAATAAGCCATTTTCACGGAGGTTGACGTGGCAGCGGAGGAATTTGACAGGGGTACAGACGATGACCACGCCAACTCCGCGTCGGCCTTGCCCGCGGCCGCCGCCAACAACAAGGAAAAGTAGACCATATGTGAGGCCGCTGCCGCTTGTGTCCCAAGAAGGCCGCTGACTACGCGTCGCCAGCCTACATAGTTGGTGACTTGCCCACTTCGCGGGGGCGGTGGCCACGATGATGGTCTTCCCCTGCCCCGAAAACTAACCTTGATTCATGTTTCATGGAAGTAGAGGCTACTCTCTCCCTCCCGCTGAAGCATATCCCTCTGAGGCTAAGGGCGGTCTGGTGAGCTTGCTACCGAAAATAGGGAAGACATGTTGTGGGAAACGGGATCCGCTGCGACCGTCGATAGACTAGGTTAGAATAGCATAGGCTAGTTCACTATGGTTTAGTTGAAATATATCCGCAATGTAAATGTTTTCGTCTGGTTTATATGAAAATTATGCGGTTTGCACAAATTTTGTTCGGTTTGTTGACATCTGCATCAGTGTTCATGGACCCGTCCTCACGGCCTACGGACGGATGTGGTGTCCAGCTTGAAGGTTTACATTGAAGATGCCCTAACTCTTACATATTGAAGGCCTATAAAAAAACTCTTACAATTTGGAGGGGGCAGCATCTCTCTCCGAGACAAAGAAACACAGCTTTCCTCCTCTGCAACCACACAACGCACGCACGGAGTCACGGCCTAACACATTCACCATGGAGCCAAGCAGCACCAACCCCGGCCGCGGCCGCGTGGTCCTCTTACCGCTGCCATACCAAGGACACATCAACCCCATGCTGCGCCTGGCCGCCGCGCTAGACTCCCGTGGCCTCGCGGTCACCATCCTCCACCCAGAGACCCGCGCGCCGGACCGCCGGAAGCTCCCGGCGGATTACCGCCTGGTCACCATCCCGGACAACATACCGCCGGAGCTCGCCGCGTCCGGGGACGTCGCGTCGTTCGTCTTCGCGCTGAATAAGAACTGCGCAGCGCCGTTCCGGGACTACCTGGCCGGCGCCCTCAGGGAGGAGGAGAAGGGGGAGGACGGCCGCATCGCCTTCGTGGTGGCCGATGTCGACTGGTTCGCGCCGCTCTCCGTGGCCAGGGAGCTGGGCGTGGCCGCTCTGGGCCTCATGACCAGCAGCGCCGCCAGGTTCCTGGTGTACTTGGCGTACCCAAGTCTGTGCCACAAGGGCTATTTGCCCGTCCAAGGTATATACCAAATCGCCATTGTTGTGTTCTTTGTTTGGAGTTCTAACTTTTTAAATTTGTACGAACAAGAAAATTATAGTCGATTGATAGCCGCAGTGTCTGATTTGAATCGAATAGAACGTTAATTACATCACAGAGGTTGTTAGATCCGAATTATCACTGGCAGAATAACACGGTGCTTGATGGAATTCAGATCTGGCTAGTACTAGTTCTTGCATTTTTAAAGTGCAACCTGACGTGTGGAACCAAATATAATACAACTTGACATATAGAAAACTCAGGATGCAGGAAGCCGATGGTCAAAGATAAGGTTGTGGATCCTGAAACTACACCCACCCAAGATGTCCATTCTCACGAGGATCTGTGATCCTCGAGTAAGGGAAATAAAAAACGAAAAAGGACTAGGTAACACGATGTACGATCTACGATGACTTGTATAAACATTCTGAAAAAACAACTTCACAAAATTAGAAAATAGTTATCTTTATCTTCAGTCGACGAACACAAATACCCCATACATTCTGAAATACATACTATCATTTTAAAAATAGACATAGTCTACCACATGCAACCTTTCCCATTCTTTTCGTATGATATATTGTTCAAAATTATAAAATTACAATATGATGAGAAAATCATGAAAAATTCTACACGTACTGTTTTCATATGTACAATCATAATATTATCTATTTTGTAGTCCCTCCGTTCCAAAATAAGTGTCGTGGTGAACTAAAACCACGGCACTTATTTTGGAACGGAGGGAGTACATATTGTCTTGACCATTTCTAAAACTACATGTTTTTTCCAAAGGGAGGGAGTATGTCTTATATTTTATTCCCTGCTTTCAACTTTATTTAACCAATGTTAGCTAGTATAGTAGATCGTGTTGATTACTTAAACAAACTACATCATATCAGGTTTAGTGATAACAGTGGGGATTCCATGGATGCCATGGCACCTCCCAAAAATGCAAAAAAAATTTAGGCCATATATTTGAAGCTAGATTACTGCAACATAAATGTTGTTTTAGGTCTATTTGTTAGAATGGTAATGATAGTTAGATCAAATTGCACTATTTGTAGTGTACTTTTTATCAAAAAAATGGACAAAAGTATCAAAGTTATGTTATTACTTCATTGTACATATAAATTGAAGCACCAATGGTTGTAGGATCCTAGATCCGCCATCCATAACCATGATATCTGGTAAAAGCAAAACTTACATGAAATGAGCCTCACCCACTTGTTAGGGGATTAGATTTTTTTGTATTATTTCAAAAACAAAATCGATGTAGGGGTCTTCCTCACTGCATTTTTTTTAAATCAGAAGTTATGCCAGCAAGGTACTACAAAGTCAAGTCATCTCTAGCTTGGCCTTTTGTAGCACGATTTTACTCCATGCTTCTAGCTTGTCATAAAGTGCAAAAGACCAAACTTCCACAAAGCTGGACTAACCTCAAAGTTCTTAAATATCCCATGAGAGTCCAAATAATTGAGAAGCTTACCTTTTATTAATGCGATGTAGGGACCTCCCTGCTGCATTTCTTTTGGGGAAAAAAAATCAAAAGTTATGCCCAGGTACTACAAAGTCAAGTCATTTTTAACTTCACTTTTTCCATCTTCATTTTTCTCACCACTAGTGAAAAAGTGAAGAAAACCAAACTTGCAAAGGTGGACTAACCTCATTTTTTTAATAAACCATGACTTGCCCACCCACAGAAGTGAGAAGCTTACACACCACTGACAAGGTTGGCCATAGATTAGTTGCTCCGGTGACATAGGTTGAGGAAATATGATGTAACGACAAAACAACGAAAGAGTGACCGAACACAAGAGTCCGGATATGTGCTCATTGTGTTTGTATCCACCCGAGTGAAGAAATCCACCCTTTGTGTATGTATCGAAAAAGTGACTAAACACAAACCTAACATAACCATCACCGTCGCCACCATTAGCTAGGCCGATGCACCTATGATAATTTGTGAGGTTTAGATCCATTGATCAAGGGGATAAAAACACCACATGTTCTTTGGTGTCGGTCATGATAACAACAAAAGGACAAAAGCCATGAGATTTTCAATCCACATGATCTCCACCTTCGAGAAGTTGCCACCAATGAAAAAACACGAAGAAGGAAAATTAAATAACACCCACCACAAACTATGACCAGTGGATTCTCGCGTCTACCAATGCTAAAAGGCTGCCAGAGGTAAAAGACGGTGGGAGATCAGATCCCTTCCGTTATCGACAAATAATACTCCTTACATTTTCATATACAGGGCCACAAACTCATATTAATGGTATCAAAATAAAATTTAATATCTGCTTTTCAAGTTAGTTTTTGTTTTGATCATTAATACGGCCTTACAATGAACTCAGACACTGATCAAAATAATAATAAATTCATTCACTAAAATTTGCATGCTACATCGTATATATGTTTCACCTTATAGTGATCGTTAGAGTTGTTAAAGATCTTACGTCAAACCTTCACAAAAGTTAACCTTAATAGTATCCTAATTCTCAATTGACTGGAAATTAATTAAATATTAGGTCATACCGAGTACTGTCGATCTCACACATTAATTAAGATCCGTCTCAGATATCATTTTTCTGACTTACAAAAGCAACACTATAAATTTTTTTCCACTAGTCTAGATGAACATTTTTTTAGACGTGTATTACCAAATTGATCGTAGTAGCTAGGCAATACTCAACTACTCATTACACATGGCGTGATCTAGAGCAACAATATTGCGTGTTCAAACTGGTCTGTGTATCAACTTTGTTATGTTGAGCTTGGTACTTAATCGTGTTCTTTTCTTTGTTTGAGAAACATGGCCCATACTGAACTATTTTGTTCATCTGTTCATCAGACTCAAATTTCAACACTGCAGTTGAGGAGCTTCCCCCCTTCTTCGTGCGAGACTTGCATCGTGTGATGGACATGACTCGACACCTCGCATACGCCGATCTCCTCGCCCACATCGTCGCCGGCGTGAGGCAATCCTCCGGCCTAATAATCAACACGTCCGGAGACATCGAGGGCATGGAGATCGAGAGAATCCACAGCGAGATTGCCCTCCCGGTGTTCGCCGTCGGCCCTCTGCACATGATGACGTCGTCTTCATCCGTGGAGAGCAGCCTACTGACAGAAGATCGCAGCTGCTTGGATTGGCTGGACACACAACGGCCAAACTCTGTGCTCTATGTAAGCTTTGGGAGCTTGGTGGGCATCGACACAGACGAGTTCTTGGAGTTGGCCTGGGGCCTGGCCGACAGCCAGCGCCCGTTCGTGTGGGTGGTCCGGCCAAGGCTGGTGCACGGGTGCAAGTCCAGCACGCTTCCTGACGAGCTACAGGAGAAGATAGGCAATAGGGGTAGGATAGTCAGCTGGGCTCCGCAGCAGGAGGTGCTGAGGCATCCGTCTGTAGCCGCATTCCTCACACACTGCGGATGGAACTCGACGACAGAGAGCATATCAGAAGGTGTGCCGATGATATGCAGACCATTGTCCGGGGATCAAATGGGTACTGCCAGGTACGTGTGTGATGTGTGGAAGGTGGGGGTTAGGGTGGAGGTGGAGAACCAGTTGAAGAGAGAGCAAGTCCAGACGGCCATCACAAGACTCATGGATGGAAAGGAAGGTGAAGAGGTGAGAGAAAGAATGAGAGATCTGAGGCATGTGGTGGTGAAGTGCACTAGCGAAGGTGGGACATCTGATGTTGCTTTGCAACGTTTAGTGGATTCCAATGTTTAAGTACACAGCTGTTTAGGCTATGAATTGTCTATTTTTCGTACGAGTTTCTAATTAAAATATTTATCATTAAAGATATTGCTTTTTTCATTGATCAGCTATTTTTTCCATCAAATAGTGGGATCAATTTATGATATTCACCTCATTCTTTTTTTTCCAGAAAATGCGAGAGCCTTGTGATTCGATCTGTCAATAGAAAGAAAAGTTTGTGCAACTGATGGTTGCAAGAAAGATTTTTAAGGCATCCACAAATTATTATGTCCTTCGGAGACAGATTCTGATCAGATCAACGATGGATCAGTGGACGAAATACACATCGATTAATGGGATTATGGGGCGATTGGGTCACATGGGGCTATCCAAATAGACTAGTTTTCGTAACTACTATAATACACGTATAATGAAAGGTTATGTTCTAATCTCACTGCTGTTAGCAAGGAAAGTTATGATCTTGCGCCATTTGCGTCCAGCTCTTGCTTGGCCGATGGCTGGTGGAGGGCGGCGTGGTGGCTATGGTGGTGGCAGGGCGTGCTCGGCGCGGTGCTGGAGGACCTGTCAGATCTGTTCTGGCGCATGCTTCTCTGGCCGATGCTTCGTTGGCGGCGAGGGTTGAGGCGGCATGGGCCGGCTACCTCCGGTGGCTCGGCACGGGTGGTGGTCCGGCGTGGTGGGGCGCCTTGGTGGGGCTTGTCAGGTGGTGAAAGTCGCGGTGATGGGCTTGGCCGGGGTGTTGGTGGTGCGGGTCTGTGGGGGCGGCGCTATTCCTTGGTGGTTGTGCCCCACCGGCGGCACAAAGTGGGCGGTGCGGCTTCCCTTCTCCTTGGTCTATGTCGATGGGGTGACGGTGACCAGGGGCTCTCGCTCCAGTGTATCTCTTCGGGACCCGAGGGGAGTCGGAGTTGAGGCTCCGGGTAGGGGAGAGGGGGCTCGATCCAGGATGTACCCGCGGTCGGCGAGGTTCCTCCCTCCGTGGGTACGGTGGTCCTTGGTGGTGGTCGGGACTTCACGGTACTGTCGGGCAACACGGAGTCGAGGGCCATGGACATGGCGTTGTCTGAGTGCACTCGACGACGACCATTGGGAACCATGGAGGTGTGTCTCCCCCAGTTCACCGGTATTGGCTGGTGACACAGGGCTGGGGCTCCTACTGTGGTGGCACCGGCCCAACCTTCGCGGCTCATGCCGGGCTAGGAGTGAAACATGTGGACTTTCGCTCTTCCTATCGTGGCTGGTATTGTGTGGTGTGGGCGGTGGGTGAGGTCCTGGACTTGGATGCCGCTCTGGATGGTGGTTCGCATGGTTCGCTCTCCGGCGGGCGCCATGTCGGCGGTGGTGGCTCCCTTCTTGGTCGTGCGGGCGAAGAGAGGGGTAGCAGTTGGTGGCTTGGGCGCGTCCTCTGCTGGACGATGCCCATATCTGGATCTGGGGTCTGGGCGCACCACTTTTGCCCTAGGGCTTCGGTGACTTAGGGTGGGGTGCCGAGCGAAATCTCTGCCCTTTTGCGCCGGCGACGACGACGCTTACGGGTGCCGTTCTTTTCTTGAAGACGTCGTCGTGGATCTCCTCGCCGCGTTAGAGTTCCAGGTGCAGACCCTTGCCCAATGGGGCTAGGCAGCGACGATGTTTTGCGCTGTTCTCTCTCTTGGGGGCGTTGTCTAGGAGCTTAGGTGTCCTAGGGTGTTGCGTGATTGTGCTCCATTCTCCCTGTTTTCTCCTTCGGTAGTGTAGTTGCTTGTCTGCTCTGCGATCCGGATAACCTAGGATCTGCTTTGTAAGAGGGTCACCTCACCACCATGTATCGTTCGGCCGTGTACCTTTTCCGGTTTGTGCTTTATTTATAAAGGGGGGCGAAAGCCTGTTTCGAGAAAGTTATGATATTTTTCTAATTGGATGTGTACCAAGGTAAACCTCATTACATTATACTCCATTATGCCCGCAATAATGCCTGATATACTATGCACTGGACAAAGTGGCTAGGAAATGCCACACTCCTGGAACAATATCCAGCTCTATATAATATTGTCCTCCGAATGTGACGTTCAGATAAGATTTAATAGGCCCCAGACTTGCATCGTGGAATGATTGGATAAATCGTCTCGCCACGGTACATTTATCACATGGAACCGATCAACTTTGGTGGAACCTAAATGCGAGTGGTAAATTCTCGATAGATTCAATGTATAGAGCGTTGATCCAATCTGATGTACCAGTTGATAATAAGAAGATCTGGAAGATGCAGATACCGCTTAAGAATAAAATCTATGCATGGTATCTTCGTCGAGGAGTCATTCTTACCAAACATAATCTTATTAAGAGAAATTGGCATGGAATATGCAATGCGTTCTTTGTAATCATGATGAAACAATAAAACACTTGTTCTTCAAGTGCAAATTAACTTGGTCTACATTGTCAATCATTTAAATAGCTTCTGGCTTGTATCCTCCATGTAGTGCTGCTAGTATTTTTGCAACTGGTTACATGGAATTGATCACAAGTTTAGAATTCTTATCAGGGTGAGAGCGCTTGCCGTTATTTGGTCGCTTTGGCTATGTAGGAATGATAAGGTTTTCAATAATGAAAGTACTTCTCTTATGTAGGTTATCTATAGGCGTACCGGTACGCTTTGTTTATGGTCGTCTCTACAACGTGTGGACAATCAAGACATGTTTACGGAGGCGTGTGCATGCTCGGAGGACACGGCAAGGAATATTTTTACCCAACATGGATAGCAACATTATCTTAGGATTGGCCATCCTACAGTTTAGGCGGCATACAGACTCCATTTCTTGTACTTCGTCTTTATTACTGTTTTTTTAGATTCGACTTGGTATGTATGTGTGCATCTCAGTTATGCACAAGCCGGGTGTAATGCTTAAACCTTTAAGTAATAAAGCATTCTTTATCGTAAAATGCACTGGATATATCGTGCATGCCTCACCTGTCCATCTTTTTGAGACTTGTGCAACATTCTTCTCCCTCTGGATGGGAATATAAGTCTTGCATGGAAATTTAGGTCGTCGGATTAACTAGCAACATTATAAGATGACACAAAATATATATGTTTAGAATCTTCATTCAATGACTAATCTAAAAATAAATATTTTCTGACCTACAGCACATTTTTGCTAATCGAGCAGAAGAACTATGTGTGCCTGACTCATATCCCATCCGGAGGGATTATCTATTCATTGCATATATCTCCTTGTATTTCTATTACATCACATAACCCTGACAACTTTTTTCACAAATTATGTGCAAGATTCAAGACACACTATGCTCCACCCACAGTGCCAGGCATTGCTCCGCTCACCCCATGCATTAATATGTGATTTCCATGTTTGAATTCTTTTTATTCTTTAAACCGAAAGTCTAATTTATAATTGGATATTTGCGTTCTTGGTGGCGTTGATTTGGAAATAGGACCTGTCTTGAATATATTCCTACAAGTTTTGAAATTCGAATTCTGAAATAAAATTATACACTTGGGACACGGTGACTGCCGGTGTCAAAACCGGCGGATCTCGGGTAGGGGTTCCCGAACTGTGCGTCTAGGCGGATGGTAATAGGAGACAAGGGACACGATATTTTTACCCAGGTTCGGGCCCTCTCGGTGGAGGTAAAACCCTACTCCTGCTTGATTAATATTGATGATATGGGTAGTACAAGAGTAGATCTACCACGAGATCAAGGAGGCTAAACCCTAGAAGCTAGCCTATGGTATGATTGTTATTCGTCCTACGGACTAAAACCCTCCGGTTTACATAGACATCGGAGAGGGTTAGGGTTACACAGAGTCGGTTACAATGGTAGGAGATCTACATATCCGTATCGCCAAGCTTGCCTTCCACGCCAAGGAAAGTCCCATCCGGACACGGGACGAAGTCTTCAATCTTGTATCTTCATAGTCTAGGAGTCCGGCCAACGATGATAGTTCGGCTATCCGGACACTCCCCTAATCCAGGACTCCCTCAGTAGCCCCTGAACCAGGCTTCAATGACGATGAGTCCGGCGTGCATATTGTCTTCGGCATTGCAAGGCGGGTTCCTCCTCTGAATACTTCATAAAAGATTTTGAACACAAGTATAGTGTCTAGCTCTGCAAAATAAGTTCCACATACCACCGTAGAGAGAATAATCTTTACACAAATTCAATCTGCTGATGTATTTTGCGGCGTGACGTCACATCACGGCCAAGCCTTTACTGGAATCATTTTTACTGTCCCACCTCAGCGCGTTTAGCGAGGCGGTTTCCTTGGCATGTCTTGTCAAAGCAGAGATCGTGTCCCCTCATTCCGGGATTCTCATCAATACGGGCGTGGGTAACCCAACCGCGCCATTGATTACGGCGCTTGGGAGATAAGCGAGTTTTATCAGGCTAGTGGGGACGCATAGCTTCGTCCATCCATATAAGGGGATAAGGATCCACCTTTTCACCTACGCCTTCTTCCTCCTTTGCTTATTCATTTCCGTGCACTCGAGCTCCAGCGCCCAAGTCCGCACATCTCGCCTCAACCTTCCCCAACCATGTCCGGAGCGGGAGGCAAGTGGATGGTCTCCTCCATAACGGAGGAACAAGTCAAAAAGCTGCGGAAGGCCGGATACTTGTCCAGCGACATCGCGCATCGGCTCCCCGACAAGGGGCAGCTCCTTCCTACCCCCAGGCCCCATGAGAGGGTGGTGTTCCTCACCCACTTCCTCCACGGACTAGGTTTTCCACTTCACCCATTTGTCCGGGGGCTCATGTTCTACTATGGCCTAGATTTCCACGATCTGGCCCCGAACTTCATGCTCAACATCTCGGCTTTCATCGTCGTGTGCGAGGCCTTCCTCTGCATCTAGCCCCACTTCGGCTTATGGCTGAATATTTCTAGTGTCAAGCCGAAGGTAGTGGGCGGCCGCCAAGCGGAGTGCGGAGGTGCTATGGCGGGCCGGATGGCCAACGTCCTATGGCTCGAGGGCTCCTTTGTGGAGACAATAAAGGGGTGGCAATCGGGGTGGTTCTAC